CGGAAGAGCAAGCATGACTGGCACTACACAGACCTCTTCGGCCAGCCCTCCTACTGCTGCGTGTGTGCTCAGCACATCCTCCAGGGCGCCTTTTGCAACTGCTGCGGCCTGCGTGTCAGCGAAGGCTGCCTCAAGAAGGCTGACCAGCGTTTTCATTGCAAGGAGATTATGATGAGCAAGAGTGGAGCCCACAGCTCCATGCCACACCACTGGATCAGAGGCAATGTCCCGCTCTGCAGCTGCTGTATGATATGCAAACAGCAGTGTGGCACGCAGCCCAAGCTCTGCGACTACAGGTACTGCAGGGGAATTTGACTTCGTATGAGTAAGTACGATGCCATATCCGCAGGGTTATTAGAGCATGTTACCCCGAAGGAGGTTCTGCAGTAGTCAAATGTGAAACCCTATTAAAGAAAACAACTTCAAAGAACCTAAAATTAAAATGGATGCTTGTGGGTAATTGGAATCAAAGATAGGAGTATGGCATTGTATCTCCTGTCTGCTTGCTCTCTTAATTACTCCAGACTGATGTGCTGTCTGCTCTATAATTACATATTAAAGGCTCTCTGTGTCCAGGAGAGTTTGTATTTTAGGGCATGACCTGAAGAAGGTTCTAACGCCCTTGTCATCTGTACAGTGGGTAGCCTGAGCAATTTGGGTGGCACAGCTCCCAGTTCAGAGCACAGGAATGCGTGTGCAGCTCTGCAAAACTGGCATCTGCTCCCTGTAACTAGAACAAATAACCATCCTAAAGCTACTTACGTTCATTTCTAAGGATACTCCAAAAGAAAGCTAATGGGAAGTTTTAAGAGCTTCTGTAATACAATCTGTTGTTAAAGTTTGTGGTGAGAGTGTTAAAAAATTCAAGGAGCTGTTAATGGGCTTGCTCAGGGATCAGTAAGGCTGCTGGCAAAGTTGTCAGCATGACACAGAGGCATGTTATGCCAAAATACAGTGCTAGTGATCTAGGTCCTGGGTACAGTGTAAGTGTTACTTCAGCCTTCTCAAAAGATGTCATCTTTCCAGCATATATTCTGCCAGCTTTTGCTTTGCTTCTGTATAATGCTGTCAGATGGCTTGGTAAGTAAGCAGAAAACGAGCATACTATTGGAAACAAAACCTTGAGAGAGTGTGCGTAGCAGAGGAGGGAAGGAGAGGGGTTTGAAGGCAAAGGAAAAGAAGGAAAAAGGAAAAGAAGGCAAAGGAAAGAAGAGCGAAAGAAGAAAGTCACAGTACAGGGCAAGTATCGTTCTACTCTGGTGTGCTGGATTAGTCAGAAGGACTCCAAAAATAGCTTTCACAGCTGCTTAAGGCAAGGCTTTGGATGTAGCAAATGAGGATTAACATTCTGCAGGGGCTGGCAGTGGATATTGCAGCATTTCCTCTTGTTCTAGCCCGTTTTCCGGGACAGCTTTTAGAATACATAAAAAGCTGAGCAGTTTTCCATAACAAAATCCCAGCAGCCTTGTACCAAACTGTGTAACCTTTTAGATTTCAGTCTTAAAGGGTTATTCTGCATCCTAAGACATTCATTAATGGATGTTACTTGTAACACTTTATTAATTGGAACTCTAGTGTTTCATCTGTGCTCTTGAAGGATGGATAGGAGCTCAGATTCTCTCTCGGTGTAACTGTTAGTATTGCAGGCAATGCAGAAGGATGTTTATAGCACCCGGGTTTGGAATTAAAAAGAAGGGAATTGATTTTAAACTGTTGGTTTTGGGGTTTTTTTCCTCAATTCAAATACTCTTCTAAACTTGCAAGCACATGGCCTAATTATGTCAGTTTCTGTGGCCAGTGTGCTTAAAATAGTACTTACAATGGTGCATGGAAGCATAAACACTTTTCAGAGTTAATCTGTCTAAAATAAATGAGCAATATGGATGTGCCTGTTGTTTGAGGATTTCTTTTCCATGGCTTTATTCCAGATGTGTGTGGTGTCAGTACACTGTCCATGATGAATGCATGATGGATTATTTAAAGACACAGAAGTGTACATTTGGAGAATTCAGAGACTTAATTATTCCACCATATTATTTGTCTACAATCAACCAGATGCGTAAAGAGAAAAGAACTGATTATGAGAAGGTAATGGTCTGCTGCTGCTTGGGTTTTAATATATTCTTAAGAATCCCAGATAAACAAGCAGAAAAACTCCACACACATTACAACTTGAACTCAGAACGTTGTCAGGTGAATGTTTCAATCCATATGAAGTGCTTGTAGTGTTAATTCCGAAGCGTCTGTCATTTTATTCACATGGCAGTTGGAACATGAGCAGACATTTGGATTTTGTTACTCCAAACCAAGACTGAGATTTGGTTACCTTACTTGAATGTTTTGTGATTTTTCTGCTGCTGGGTTCCTAACATTGTAGTATTGTTATCCCAGGCACTGCAGAACAGAAATCTTCAATCTTTATGTTTCTGTTTTGACGTCCTCATTTCAGCACTCGCAGGGTCAGGTTTTGGAACAAGGCTGTAAACATTCCCAAATGTGCAGTGGTTTTGTGCCTGACTGACTTCTGCCCTTTTGCAGGTAGCACCTTACTGCAGAAAGCACTGGATGCCAGTAATTGTACTGGCCAATACTCGCAGTGGAAACAACATGGGTGAAACTTTACTAGGAGAATTTAAAATTCTGCTGAAACCTGTTCAGGTATTTACAGTGAAAAGCTACTATAATAAAAGTTTAAAGTAGAACATAGCTTTTTTCACACAATGGTAGTAGGATCTTGTGGAAGTGCAGTAAAGGAAACAAATCCAGGCAGTTTGTACTTTTAGAAAGGATAGCTTTATAGAGAAAAACGAAAACTGCAGAGGCTATTCCCACCCCCAGGTTTGTTGTGGTTCTAATACTGGTCCAGTTTTTTATTTCTAGTAATACATGAAGCAATTCTGTTAATGATGAGTGTCTGGCTCTTGAAACTGCGTGCAACTGTTAGAAAATGAAACATTTAGATCTTAATTTGAAACCTATATTTGTTTAAATCCTCACTTGTGCAAATGTCAGTGTTTACAGCTACTGCCTTGTGTCGTTGCTTTCCCTTTAAAACCCACGGGGATGGACCAGGATGTTGATGTAAGGCAGGCAGTTGTTCCTTGGATTTCCTGGCTGCACATTAATACTCTTCCTTTGAAGTTCAAAACCCAGCCTTGGAATACAGGCTAATAGAAATCACTATGTGTGTGTTTTAAATGCATTCCAATCAGGCTTGAAAGAATAAACCTCTTTGTGTGCTGGGTATTTAAAAATAACTTTTATCTAAAGTCTTTCATCTTTACAGAATTTATCATAGATCCAGGCTTTCCTTAGGACTCTGTCAGCTCAGTTTATCAATAGCATTTATTCCCAGTGAAGCAGCTGGAGCTCTCTTGCGAATTTGGGAAAACAAATCCTGCTCATAGAAGTCAAGACAGGTCATTTCCTAATGTAATATTGTAAATGTAGAATCTTTGTTTTGCATTAGAATGATCTTCTTGAAGTTGTTTATCTGCAAGGCAAATCCTGAGTCCTGTTCTGTGAGCTCAGGGATCTCCTTATTTTTCTCTCTTCTAGGTTTTTGATCTAAGCAAAATCACACCTGCTAAAGCACTCCAACTTTGTACCTTGCTGCCTTGCAATGCTGTCAGGGTTCTTGTCTGTGGTGGGGATGGCACAGTAGGCTGGGTCCTGGATGCCATTGATGAAATGAAGATAAAGGTATTGTGTTTTAAATTAAGAGATGTTTTATGGTGAAATGAGTTTTGGAGTTGCTGAAGTGCTGCACCTAATCTCTTAACCTGTATTTATGGTTTTCATTTTACTGAATAAGCCTAGAGAGAAATATTTACAGGATTACTTACTCGTACCATTTCCCTGGTAGTTCAGGAAGAGTATGAAAGCTTTAGATTTTAAATGATATTTAAAGTTGTTCTTTTCTGTAAAAGAAGAAAAGAACAAGGTGCAGAATATTTCATGTGTTGTTCTTTCCTCTTTGTCTGAAGAGATTTATTTTGCTGTAAATGGCATTGCTAATAATGGCTAATGCTCTGACTAGTTATTTCTCCCAGTGCACTCAATCTTCTATAATAACCTCATAATGTTGCTGGATATACTGGTTATATTACCAGTGCATGAGTGAGTGCAGTGGTTTGCTCCTGCTCCTTACCATGTGTTCTAAAGAACTTATCAGAGCTGTTAGTCTACTACTGTAGACTCTACTAACAGCAAGTAGAGAAGGAAAATTAAGCTGTATGTTTACTGTTGATTTGAAATGGAAGATATTCCAGTTTACGGGGCACTACTTAGAACTGTTGAGAAAATAATAAATGAAGAACTATTACCAGGGCTTTAGTGCTTTACCTATAAACGTTCTCTTCAGTAATAAAAGGAAGAAAGTTTCTCTTCTTTATATAAATGTGGATTTTGTTGTTGCTTTGGATTTCGTTTTGGTTTTGGTTTTTTTTTGCTGTTTGGCTTTTTTGTTAATACATGAAATGTTTTAGTTGAAGGTCATTATTGCTACTTCATGCATAGTCAAACTGAGCTTCTTTCAGGGTTTCTATGTACTGATAAAGTAGAAATGCAACAAAGCATAACTATAAAGGTTAATGAATGTGAGTATATGGTTACTTGGTCTTGGACACCTGATATATTGTCCCTAAGAGCCAATATAGTTGATGAAATTTGTGTTCTTTTTTGTTGCCAAATACTCAAATGGAGTCATTGGAGTTACGTAAATACTGATGAGATTATCAGCAAAACATTTTTATTATCAGCAATAGGTCATTTACTCCCTTTGGTTTATCTCGACTCTCAAACACAGGTTACCTAGCTGATAACTGTCCTTGAAAAAACAGTAACCATAATGCCACTTATTGCAAGTACTTTTCACAGCTGAGTTTCAAAGGCCATAATAAATCTGAAATAACTCTTTACCCTTCTGTGGTAAAGAGAACAAAAACCTTTGCTGAGGTGGCCATTCTGAATGTCTGCTGCTGTCACTTCCCCTGTGATCTGCAGAGGTGATCATCATCTGCTCCATCTGCTGATGACAGTTGGATCTGTCTGTGTATGTGGCATCTCTGAAACTTAGATACTGATTTTCCTTCTTTGAGTATGTGAATCCCTGTCCTTGGCTGAATACTCATGTTATGTGCATCTGCTGTTTCAGATGTAACCTCACTTCAGTCTTGTAAGAACGTTTGGGTTTCTTGTTATGGTTCACAGCCTTATGTTATGTCTCTCTTAATGTTCATGTCACTTCCCAGAGTTATAGAATCCCAGCCTGGTTTGGGTTGGAAGGGACCTTAAAGCTCAACCAGGTCCAAGCCCCTGCCATGGGCAGGGTCACCTTCCACTAGAGGAGATTGCTCCAAGCCCCTGTGTCCAACCTGGCCTTGAACACTGCCAGGGATGGGGCAGCCACAGCTCCTCTGGGCACCCTGTGCCAGCGCCTCAGCACCCTCACAGGGAAGAGCTTCTGCCCAAGAGCTCATCTCAGTCTCCCCTCTGGCAGATTAAAGCCATTCCTCTTGTCCTGTCACTACGCACCCTTGTAAAAAGTCCCTCTCCAGCTTTCTGGAGAGAACTGTTACTGCTTATATGCAGTAATAGTGTTAGTAACTTACCATGGCTGCAGCAAGTCAGTAGCATATAATCAGGAAATCAGATGACAAGTTCAGAGCTTCTCTTCTAGATCTAAGGCATCATCTTTGTGAAGGAATACTCTGATCAGTATTAATAATGCATTGTTTCCATGTTGTGTTTGTATTCTCTTTTCACAATGTTTTAACATTTCCTTCTTCTGCATTATCTCTACAATAAGTACCTAAATGTGCCATCTGCTATTACTAACTGTTGCCAGCTCTGTTGCTCTGCACTATGTAACAACCTGCTGTGAAGATTAATGATATTTATCTAACCTGAACATTTGGGGATAAAAGGGATAAAATGAGTGCCGAAGGAGGAGCTAATGTGCAGTGGTTTTGTATCCTAGGGGCAAGAACGTTATATTCCACGAGTTGCAATTTTACCTCTGGGAACAGGTAATGACCTGTCTAATACACTGGGCTGGGGTGCAGGTTATGCTGGAGAAGTCCCTGTAGAACAAATCTTACAAAATGTCATGGAGGCAGATGGAATCAAACTAGACAGGTAAGTAACAGTGGGAAGATAAGTTCTATAGAACCAAATACTACTATAGCTCCGTTGATATCCAGTTGCAGCAGTGTATGTAAAGAAACACAAGTATTGCTGGAGGGAACTGCAAAATAACTGAGGTCCAAAATTAGTCTGTCTTTAGTTACTCTACAAGGCTTAACTCTTTCATAGTTTGACTAAATTTGAATCTTTTGACTTGATCCCAGTATAGATATGAGATTCATAACTACAGCTTTGATGCTAAGTGAGAGCAGTCTGTCATGGGTCTAAGTAATGGCTGTTGTTTTTCAGATGGAAGATTCAAGTAACTAACAAAGGATACTACAACTTAAGGAAACCAAAGGTATGACTTGCAAGTATAAATATGGATTCTGTGGAATACCTGGATGTTTATACTAATTTTTCTCACTTTCTATTAAATGCTGTGGCTTTTAAATCCTGATAATGATATTTAATAAGACCATAACTAGATGTTGTATCTTACAGGTATTCACAATGAACAACTACTTCTCTATAGGACCTGATGCTCTCATGGCTTTAAATTTTCATGCTCATCGTGAGAAGACTCCCTCTCTGTTTTCCAGCAGAATTATTAATAAGGTATGTTTGGTAAAGTGACATTTTCCTCCTTGTAGTTGTTAACTTAAGGCTATTTTTTGCTCCATATTGCTTTACTCCCCTACTTCCTTTCATGCCATTTTAAGAGTTTGAACTCATTTTTCTTGAGGAGGGGATTCCAAGGGTAAAACATGCTTCCAGCCCACTCACTAGTGTTCTCTCTTGCCTCTGCTTGCTTGCTTACAGAATATGCTGTTCAATTTTTGTTTAGAATGTCTCATTTGCTTAGAAACTTAATGGATTAAAGATGTTGCCTATTTCCTTTTAATGTGGAAAGCAAGTTTGTTGTGCAAGTTGTAGTCTGTCTCATGAAGAGAGCTTAGTTGAAGGATGTGCAAATACGTTACATATTAATATTAGATAAGGTTTGCAGAAAAATAACTACACGTTAGTATTTCATACTCTTCATATGATTTGCCTTTTTCTAACAGTGTTTTCCGTGCTCCCTGTTTTGTTTGGGCTCTTTTTTACAGGCAGTTTATTTTTTTTATGGAACCAAAGACTGCTTAGTACAAGAATGTAAAGATCTTAACAAAAAAGTTGAGGTAAGTTTTTTAACTTGCATATTTTCTGGACAATTGGTGGAGTGTAAAAACATCCCTTGTGAAAGAAAAGGGGAAAAGCTTTGCAGCTTACATCAGTATGATACTTGTATAGAATGGCTTAGACTTGGAGTATTTTTGCAGATAGACAGAACATTGGCTTATTTCATGGAATTCATGTTTTTGAGCTTACTAAAAATCCCTAATTTATTCTCTGACCTTGACTCAGTTCTGTGAGTTCAAGTACTGATACTCAGATAAAATTTGCCTTACACCAGAGACTTACATACGTGAGAGTTCCTTTTTCTGTTCTCTATTAAGAGAAATCTATTACAGCTTAGGATATCTTGTGCAGTAGAAGTCGTTTCTTCTAAAGTATGAGAAGGAGACATTCTGTTTGTACAGGGCCAGTTTTTCTTCGAGTGGAAACCTATTAGATGCACAAAGAGAATAACCAGCTTATACTGAAGTACTGAATTTGATCCACAATAATAAACTTCTGTTTGTCTTTTAAAGCTAGAGTTGGATGGTGAGAGAATCGAGTTGCCCAATTTGGAAGGCATCATTGTCCTGAATATTGGATACTGGGGAGGCGGCTGCAGGCTCTGGGAAGGAGTGGGTGATGAACCTTACCCCTTGGCGAGGTACACAGTGCACCACCTTCTTCTTTTTTCCTTTAATAGTTCTTCTAGTGCAAGCAGTTCTCTCCAGTACAGTGCTTATGTAGGCAGACTTATCTGAAAGTCAGAAGGATTCTTTGTGGCAGTTGGGCAAGGTCCTAAATCTAAAAAATCAGGCATTAAAAGATTTTCCCATAGATTAAGAACTGGATGAAAAGACAAAAAATTGTACAGGTTTATGGAAGACAAAGTCACTGTGGGCCTTAAATATGCACAGTGGGGCTTGGCAAGTCGTACATCCATAGTTGCCAGAAGCTAGATGGTGTGTACCAGCTGGAGTATCACTCCATACTTGTGTTTCTGTATGACTTCCTTTGCTGTTCAGTGGGATTTGTTCAGTGCTGGCCAGCACAAATATATAGTTTAACCATGTCTGTAGAATAACATGTCTTCTCTATAGGAATAGCCATAAAAGGACTGTGTAACATTTGGACAGGTATTCTAGGGCTTATGAGCATCACTAAAGAGAGTCTCCTTTCTTAATTCATAGATATGATGATGGACTTCTGGAAGTTGTTGGTGTTCATGGTTCTTTCCACTGTGCCCAGATTCAGGTCAAACTAGCAAATCCTGTTCGCCTGGGGCAGGCACATACAGTGAGGGTAAGTGGTGGTGATGAACCTGTTTTCCCTAATTTATTATTTTTCAATACTTATCAGCCTGTTGTAGTTGTAAAAGGGATCTCCAGAGCTCCTCTGAGCTGCTGTGATTGTGTGTTCTTCTATTTAATACTAGCTGATCTTGAAGAGCTCAAAGATGCCGATGCAGGTGGATGGAGAGCCATGGGCTCAGGGGCCCTGCACTGTTACCATAACTCATAAGACACATGCACTGATGCTGTACCACTCGGGTGAACAAACAGATGATGACACTTCCAGCAGTTCTGAGGAAGACCACGTGAGAGAACTGACAGATGAAGATACATAGATTTTGTGGAACTTAACAGAATACAGCAATGAACTTCAGCTCATTTAAAAACACTGAGAACACCTAATTTAGATTAAAGTTTGTGTCCTGAGGTTCATACTTGTGAATGAACTAGTGCTGAGGAAAAAGCCATGCTTTTGCATTCGTGAAAACATTCACAGCTGAATGACCACAACTGTTTTGCCTTTTAGATTGGTGGTGATGCGCAGCCTTTCCAGCTGGAGGAGTTAGTTACTCTTAATGGCACAAAAGAGACAGATACTTCAGCCCTCCCTTGCTGTGGAATTAGATCTTCTGCTCATACACAAGTCTAGTATGCAAAATGTTTGATGCCCTTGGAAAGGGGAACAGTTGGAGTTTGGCCTGCTTCCACCTGCCCTTTTCCCCAGAGCAGAAAATCAGACCAAGTAGGGTGTGAGCTGGTTTTATGACAACAGCCTGCACTTGGCTGCTATCTCTTCTTGGGAGCAGCACAAACACCTTTCTGTGCACCTGCTTGTGCAGTGGGTATCTAATAGGCTTGACTGGGAGAGCAGAGGATCTGGGAGTTCTTGGGAAGGTGGTTAGCAAGAAAGATGCTTTTGGACCAAAGATTTCTGGAAGTGTTGTGTTTGCAAATGACCTTTTTCAGTGGCCTTATGAGCCATAGATAGAATACTCCTGAGGTCCCAAGAAGGTACAACTTCAAAATAATTGTACCATGACTTGCTCTGAATGATCCTGTGGCTGACTCTGCTTCAGTTCAGCGAGAGGCTAATTCTAGTTTTTGTAAATAGCAACATCGTAGTTCTTGAGGAGGCGTTTTGGAGGAAAACTTGGACAAAGGAGCTGTCTTTTTACCTGTTTAGAGGAGGGTTTTAGAGGAAAAATGATAATTGGCAACTGTGCATGTTGGTCATGTTTAGTTTCTTAAAGATCTTGCTTCATAACTACCTGAAAGTGATCAATAGTAGGCCAGTCTGTTAACTGTTTCAGTTTTAAGTGTGGCAGCTGGGAGCTGAGTTCGCAGAATTTAGCAGGTTCTGGTGTTCATGTGTATAATTCAACTGGGGGAAAGAAAGCATGGAAGCATTTGTCTTCTCCCTGGCTCCTACAAGGGTCAGAATTACCATGTTGGACCTGAAATTTCATTTCCCATATGAACATATGTAGAGAGAAAGGCTGGTGATCTATACTGATAGTAAAGGTTAAGAACACATACAACAATACATAGAAACTGTCAGTTTGGCATATCCGAAGCTTCTCAGGTTAAAAGCTTCTCAGGTGAAAACATCTCCATGGTTAACAGAAGTAAAAACCTGCTTCCTTTCTTCTTTTCTGTTTTAAGTATTTTAAGCCTGCAGCAGGTGAGAGCTGTGAGCTGAGGTTTAAACTTTGTCACTAAGTAATTAAATCCAGTTGAGTTACTGAAGGTGAACTTCCAAGTAGGAGAAGAATTTATGCTGAATGTATACTTTTATAAGCCAAGATCGTAAGAGAAGATGAGAGCTTTGGTCTAAACTTTGAATGTTGATGCTTTTGTCAGAACTCCTCCATTATTTTGGTGGTTGTGGGTCCCCCCCCCCCCTTTTTTTCTTCTACTAAATGAAAGTGATACCATTGGGTAAAGTAGGCTGTGTTTCTAGGTTTTGTAACTGAAACTGTTTTTCAACAATTGTAAAATGACATTTGCATTGATGGTGAATGAACTATTTATATTTTAAAATAATTTATTGAAGCCTTGGCAAAGTCAGTATTTTTAAAACCTTCAATTGTAATCCTCTTTGGAGAGCATTTTTAACTTGATGGTGTTCGTTGTAGAAAGTGTCTGTACTAGATCTTAAATACTACTGATTGTCAGTGAATTCGTAGCTGTCTGAAAATGTGATTAGAATGAACTGTAAAGCAGAAGCCATGTGTAAATTCCACATTCATTAGCTTTATACACCTCAACTTAATTATTTTACTGTGTGTAAATATGGAGAACAAATTAATAGTAAAAGCTGTGTAAAAAGTGTTTAAAATACCCAAAAGTATACTATGTTAGATAAAACCACTGCTCTTTTTTTAGTTACGAGGTTCAATTTGTATTAGCTTCAAAGAGCTCACTAGCTAAGCTATTATTTTTATATATATATAACCATCAGCATCCTTAAAATAGTGAAGTTCTGTGCTATGGTTCTGATCTAACTTGTTTACAAGCAAATGCCATGACTCTGGAAAAGCAGGGTATGTGCTATGAAAGGCAGGATGTTCTCAAGAGAAGCGACACCACTGGCTACTTAATCTCAGCTATTCGTAATACACTTTAAAGAGTTACCTGAAGTTGATCAGATGATTGTTCGAATTGTTTTATAGCCTAAGAACCTTTAACTGCTCAAAACCTTCATTCTTTGGACTCCTGATTATGTAGAAGAAAACTAATTGATACCAAAACTTTGAAAGTCTCCCTTTTGTGCAGTGAGTGAGCTGGCTTCTCCACTTGTGCTTTGCCCGAGTGGGGACCAGTGATCTTGTACTATGTTTGTGCAGGTAAGATCCTCCCAGTTACTCAAAAGGTGTGAAATCCCCTTTGGGAAATGGAAATACATCATTCCTTTTGGAGAAACAAAGGAGAAGTGAAAGTAGCATCTAATCGGGCACTTGTTTGAGGAAACCCTGGTAAATGGTCCTGTTGTATGGGACAGATCATCCCCTTGCATGTGGAAGTGAAGAAGCTTCTCTTTCACAAGCTGTCAGTGACTGCAGCAGAGGACAGGTAGCAAATGTAGCCATCATAAGCATGGGGAAGCCTTTTGTAAATTGTATTTGTGGGATGGAGAATATTCTGTAAGGTTGAAGTGTTCCGTTCCCAATCACACATGGGATCATCCATCTATTGTAACTATCTGTAGCTGTCATGCATGCCCAAAAAAAAGTTATTTTTAGACATACCATGTTAGCACTAGAATCTGTTGGGAAGTCTTGCTGTTTCCAACGTGCTGCCCTTGGATTTCTATGTATCCTCCTTTCCAGGATGTTGCAAACTGGGTGAAAGCCTGTTTTGAGTTAGTTTTATGGCACTGTTTTGAAGTCCAACTGCAGGCAGTAAATGCCAGCAATGGACTCCCAGATTCTAATGCTACCATAAATGAACTATTCTAATTTGTATATAGCTGTAGCTGCTTGATGTTGTCATGTTGTGACTGTAAAACTGTTACATGCGTTTTTAGTATGGTAGGTGCAAAAAGCACCAGTACGTACACATAGCTATTCTGTAGCTATTGTGAAAACATATTGGAAACCTGAAAACTCTGCAGTACGTTCTCTATCCAGAAGAGGGTACTCTGCAGCTGGGCCTCATGCTTTGCACTGAGGAATTTTTCCTGACCCTGTTGATGCTTAACGTTGGAAAAATACCACAAGGAATGTTTGAGAAAGACAAGTCATGAATAGTTTCTTCTGGCAGTCTTCAGTTATACCTCTGCGTAAACTGCACAGGTGAATAACAACATCAATTGTCAAGCACTCAAAAGTGAATTCACAAAGTTTTAAGCTTTATTAAGCTTTATTTATTGCTGCAAACACTAGCTTAACTGTGCACAGAACTTCTTGTTGTAGCCTTTGTTTTACTTTGTGTTTTCAATTCAGCAACTCATAGCAGGGTTAAACTGTTTCAAATGCCACGTGCATTTTGTATCTTTCTCCATGTCTGGACTTTTTAAAAGGTGTCTGAAGTCCAGACTTGCATTCTTCATCTTCAGAAACTGCTGAGGAGGTGGATGGCATTCATTTAGGTGATTTTTTTTCTATGTATGTCTATTGTTCTGGTGTTTGAAGCAGGTTAGAGTATTGTTTAGAGCATGCTTTTAAGAGCACTTTGGAATTATTAAAGAACATAGTCTTGTGGTTTCTACTGAAATGGCAATATTTCTGTTCCAAATTAATGTGGAATTTGTTCAAACTTGAACGTTTTTCTCAGCTGTTATGAATTCCATTTCGTGTTCATAATGTAAGAACTGTATAGCATAATTTATGCATTTGATACTCTTTTTGTATGTTCATTTTCGATGTTGCCCCTTCATAGGGTTTTTTATTCCAGGTCTTGCTTTTCTTAAGCACTGACTTGAAATACCATTTACTTTGGTTAGAAGCTTTAAGTACTTGCTCTCAGAAAACAGACTTGAGTTTCTTCTGGTTGCAAAAGAAAATGCTACCACGTTTGAACACCCTTGGAGAAAAACATCCTGTTGAGGCAATGCTTATAGCAAAAGTAAGTTAAAAGTATAACTTCAGCTAATTCTGTTTGAGAGTTTGTACCCCTGTACATTTTGTCCTGCTAGTGTTTACAGCTACTCAGTAAGTACTTTTTTCCCCTCAGTCATTTGAATTGCTCATTTTATGCTGTCTCACTTTCAGCAAAAAATGTCATTTGAGACAGTATCAAAAGCCCTGATTAAATCAGGTTAGTGAGCTTCTCTTCTGTCCACTTTATCCCTCGTGCCAGCTAGCTTATCAGAAAGGAACATTGGAATGGCTTCACACAGCTTATTCTTAGCCCAGCAACCCACTTGTTTGGCTTTTTCAGTCACCATCACCACACCTGATATCAGAAAGGTCTCCAAAGGCTCCCAGTCCCCCTGACCTATTCTGAATGCCCAGCTTTTGCTCTTGGCTGCTGAGGAGGAACCTCCCCGTTCTCCACAGGTTCTGAGAACTGATAGTTAAAGGTTCTGGTTTCAGTTTGGCCGGTTCCTTCTGGTTCTGTATTATGTTGCACTGAAGCTCCCAGGTTTTATAGTGTGTGTTATTGTATCTCACTGGTTTAAAAAACAAAAAAAAAAAACCAAAACAAAAATAACAAACTTCAAGCACTGTACCTTAGCTGTGAACAGCATAATGGTATCATTGTTGTAGTAGTTACTCTTTTCAACTTGGCAACAAATGCTTTTTGGTAGAGTACCACTGGAACCTAGTTATTCTGTGGGTAAGTAGGACACTTAGGAATCTTTGCATGTTTTCTAACTGAATATCCTTTTTTG